TGTGCATTACGAACCATATAACCATCAAGCTTCCAAGCACAACAAAAGCAAAGTATGACGAGATACTCTTCCTCGCGAAGAAACGAGCCAAATAAAATCCTGCTACTGCTGGGAGTGGAACAAACTGCATATTGAAAAAAGATCATTGACATATGTCAAATATTCTTTTTAGTTTTTCATTGGTTAAACAAAATCAAATGTATGGAGCACTAAAATGTGGTCTAATGCCTGAGAGCTTCTCCGACACATTCAAGCTTTATGCTGTTTCAATGTGTTAAATTTTTCGAATATCCATTTTTAATATTTAATGGCAAAGATTCCACAAGGAAAATAGATTTAATTTTCTTTCACGGCACCACAAGGATATGCAACAATAATTCGCCAAAATTTTTGCTTACCTTTTCATTTCAAGCTCACAGAATTAACATTGGGTTCAATTATATCCAGTACTGCCATAGAGTTGTATCTGCCACTAATCAGTGAACTGGAGGTTTTCCTTTTTTTTAAAATAAAATTTTTTGGTTTCACTTAACATTCATCAATTTGGTTTTAAATGCACAGCGGATATGCCACAGCGCCGCAATTCTAGGGGAGAAAAGAAAAGGAATGACTTCCCTCAAGTGACTCTCCAATAATGCTGCAATTCTGTTTCACAACACTAGTGCAACTAGACACCAAATGCAGTCACAAGCCTTAATATCCTGGTCATTATGGATTGACCAAGACATAGGCCACATAAAACCTTTTTTTTTTTATGAAGTAATAATATTATCAACATATTTGGGCACAAAAACACCCGTATACAGGAAGTATACCAACAACAACAGCAACATACCCCGTATTATCCCACACCGTGGGATTTGGGGAGGGTAGTGTGTACGCAGACCTTACCCCTACCTTGTGAGGATAGAGAGGTTGTTTTCAATAGACCCTCGGCTCAGGATATTATAAATACCACATTGATGAAAATATAGGCAAAAAGGGACAGTATCAAAAAGCCATATAAAAGCAGAATAAAACAACAAGACAATAAAGTGATCAACAATGAAAGAAAACAACGGTTAGTCATAAAAACCTACTACCAACAGAAAACGAGACCGTGTGCCAATACTAATGTTATGAACACTCTGCACTACCTACTCTACTACCCTAATTCTCGACCTCCAAACCTTCCTATCAAGGGTCATGTCCTCGGTCAGATGAAGTTGCGCCATGTCTTGCCTAATCACCTCTTCTTTGGCTTACCTCTACCTCTCTGTAGGCCCTGCAATGTCAACCTCTCACACCTCCTCACCGGGACGTCTGTGCTCCTCCTCCTCACATGACCAAACCACCTAAGTCGCTCTTCCCACATCTTGTCCTCAATAGAGGCCACACCCACCTTATCGTGAATAACCTTATTTTATACCAAAAAATAAAAAACTTACAAACATATAAGGTTTTCTACAAACAACACCCAATCTTCTATACATACATTCTTTAAGCATCTTCACTTACCTCTATTAAAAAAACATCTTCCCTTGAATTTCTTTGGATATTTCATGTTTATCTCACATTACGTATCATTTTCTCAAAGTTAGCAAAGTTTAAGAATTTATTGTCAACAACCAAATTAGCTTTAGATTAAGGCAAAGTGATTCTTTTTTTGGTGACAGGTGGTATCCAACCTAGCTTGTGTGCACCTCGACTATTCCACAGGCTACCTGCTTTCCCACCAGCACAGGTACCGGGTCCTTCAACAAACAATTTTCTGAAACTACAATGGGTTCACCATGTTGAAAGGGGTAAATGCAAGCTAACTTCACTAGTCAATAATAGAAAAGGTCAAATAACAAAAGCGCAGCATGGAAATGGAAAGAATAACAGAAAAGTAAATTTAAGAAGATCAAAAACATGCCAATACATACCAGAACAGGAAACCCCACCACGATCGCTCCAGCAGAACTTACAATGACAGCTGAAGCAGTGAATCCTAGTGAGCTAAAAGCATCAGAAACCATACCAAGAGCATAAGCACCAGCTGCAGCTGCCCCTCCCAGCATAGTTATAGTGACAAGCAGGTAATTCAACGGCGGTGGCACTTGAATGTATCGTCCAAACGAATGGAACACAACCCTAACCTCCAAACAAATGACAACAACAAACAAAGCAATAGCTCCATTCACCACGCGAATGCTCTGCAACTGATGCTCATTCTTCGTCACCCACCATAACCCCCCTCTCGTCGAGGCATACAGTTGAAACAAGAAAGGAATGAAGAAAAGCAGAAACAGATCACAAATAGAAGCCGCAGAGACAAATATAACCGAGTAATGCGATGCAATATGAAACAAAAGAGGGAAAAACAAGAGATTCAACGTATGCACACAACTCTCAAGCTGCCCAAGGATAAAATTTTCATCTGGAACCCTACCACCGTGGTAACTCACTTCTTGCTTCAGTTTAAACGACGATAAACGAGGCACCGAAAAAAGCCAATAGAAAATGCAGTTAAACACCATAAGATAATAAGCAGCATTAACCATACCAACTGCAGAGACAGTTGCCCAGGTAAAAACTGTAGAAGCAATAATCGGACAACAAGCGAACAATAGCCGCTCGAGAGCAAGCACAATCGTTGGATATTCAATTTGAATCCACTTGAACTGAAGCGATACCCACACACCGATTAAGAAATTCGCTAAACTACAAACTGATACAGCGGATAGGCCGAGAATGATCGAATTGAAAGTTCCGAACAGTGATGAGCTGAAGAAGAAAGCAAATTGAGAGGCGATGAGTGAAAACCATACGGCGAAAAACGAACCGGACTTGAAATTGAGTGAATCGAGGATGTAAGCTATCATGAGACCTAATGTGAGCGTAGCGACGACGGGAGTGCCGCCAAGGTCAAGAAGGAAAGCAGCGCAAGGAACTAACGCGACAGCGATTCGAGCGTTGTGAACGAACGCCGACGGCGAGAATCGAGAGCTTCGTAGAGATCTACTGTTCAGGGAGCTGCTGCTGCTACCACCGTTAGGGTTTCGTTCGGGACTGTAAATGCCGTCGAAGGAGGTGGGGAGAGACGGAGCACTAGTTGAAGCGGAGATGTACGGACGGAACGTCCGCGGATGGAGCTCCGGCGGCAACATTTTCGTCGTCCGATCTTCCGGCCGGCGATTGTAACAGAGATTTTGCACTGAGTTTTCGTGTGTGATCTGCTAAGGGTTTAGCTGATTGAATGATCTGCGTTACGAGTTTCCGATTACTGAGTTACGAGTGACAGTGTGTAAAATTGAGTTGACGTGTTTGAGACTCTAAGGACCGTTGGATCTTTTATTCTCGAATTTGATTGGCTGATTCAATGATCGAACCGTTTGTGACACCGATAAGATCAACTATATAAGGCTGGATTTGACAAGTTTTTTAATCAAAACGGCTTTTAAACCACTTCACTTGAGCTATTGGTCTTTCGCATAGTAGCCCTCCCCCTCATTTTATGTTACATTATTTTTATTATATAATTCCAAAACAATAGATATATTTTATACTATAGAATAATTTTAAATTTTAAATTATTTTACCCTTAATAAAAAAAATATTATAGCCATATAAATATTAGTATGATTTATTTAAAAACCACAAATATCAAAAAGTTATATAATCGCACTAGTATCATAATACGTTTATGACAACGAAGGCATCATGATATCTTATTGAGGTGATCATACTTTTTTTTAGTGGTGGATCCAAAATTTTAAAATAATGGGTACTTACGGGTAAAAATATCGAAAAAAGAGGAAAAATAAATTTAGTAATGGGTGCTCACTCAATACTTATCTTAAAAAAATTATAATTACCTATGTAAATCTATTAAGTTTGATCAAAGGCAATGGGTACTCACAAAACTTCTTGTGGATCCGCTATTGCTTCTTTCGGTAAATATGTTCTTCATGCATTTGAACTTGCTCCGATTGCATTTATACAAATTGTAAGCACCTAATTTTTTACTATATTTGAATTTTTATCACCTTTTACTATGTAAATATTTTTAGAAATTTAATATATATATATATATATATATATATATATTAGTTATGTTACATTTTTTTAATATAGAGTAAGAATTAAAAATAATTTAAAAGGTCAAATTATTACTACTAGTATTTTTTTATTTTTTATCTTTATTTTAAAATAAAATAAATTTTAAAAAACGAAAAAAAATAAATATATTTTTTAATTTTCGGATGGGAATAAAATAATAAGAAAATTAAAAGTATGGAATAAAAAAAGTAAAAGTAAAAGTAGGTGAAAATTGTTTTTTAAAAAAAGTAAAAGAAAGTGGAAAATTAAAAAAAATAAAAGTAAAAGAATGTGGAAATTTAAAAAATTAAAAAGTAAAAGAAGTTGGAATTAAAAAATAAAAGTAAAGGTAGCTAAAATTTTAAAAAAAAAAGTAGAAATTTTAAATTAAAAAAAAGTAAAATAAGTGGAAAATAGAAAAAGAGTAAAGTAAAAAAAGTGAGAAATTAAAAAATAAAAGTAAAGGAAAGTGGGGAATTATTATTTTTGTTAAAAGAAGAAAAATGGGAATTGGGAATTTTTTTTAATTAAAAAATAAACAACAACAACAATAACCCAGTAAAATTCCACTAATGGGGTCTGGGGAGGATAGTGTGTACGCAGACCTTACCCTTACCCCGAAGGAGTAGAGAGGCTGTTTCCGAAAGACCCTAGGCTCAAAAACAAAAAGACAAAAGGACAAAAAGGGGAGACAATATTAGTATCACAACAACAATCATAGGATAAATAGGAACACAATGAAATCCAGAAGAAAGATGCAAAGCAAAGGGAGACAATATTAGTAAATATTAGTATCACCACAACAGTCA